TTTCAGCAGGTCTTTGACCTGTAATTTTTACTTTCTGGTGAATCCAAATTAAAAAAATTCAGTGTGCTCCAGTTTTGCTTCCTCTGCCAAGAAGAGCTGGTTCAAAGCCCTGCTGAGTCTTTGGGCAAGTAACTTTCTCTATTTAGGATGCAATCTTCTATCTTTAAAAAATAGTTTCATTCCTACTGGATGTTTTTGGTAGATACAATATGTTACATCTAGAGCCTTCACTTGGAATCCTTTGTTATATATATTTTGTCTTACATAAATTCATTGTCATGCGATTTCATCTTCTATTAAAGACATTATCTTGATCTTAAAGTCTATATAAGCACTATTTTAGTAAAAAACCAACTTCACATCTGTTGAGTATGTACTTAAGCTCCTTTTATGGTCAATATTGTTTAAGGAGTAAATTTCCCTCTAGGCAACTCAGAAATCAGACTAATGGTCTCCTGAATAGTTAGTCTTAAAAGAACTTCAAGAAACATAAGCACTGACCACCTAAGACAGGCAGCGTCCCTTAAACAATCAATAAATAAGGAGGATTCAGATGCAGACAGTGCAGACCCGGTCAGGAGGCCAAGCCCCTGTGGGCCCAAGCGTTGTTGACCGTCCAAACCATAGGCTCTGAGGATCATACTCTAGCTACCTAGTAGACATAGCAAACTGTCCCTCATCTGATTATTCAGTAATGCTTGTTAGTAATCTCATACATGAGCCCTGGATATCCACAGACAAAAGTAAAAACCTTCCCTAAAAGCCGAGACTGTAAATTCCAAAAAGGCAAGTTCCCCCCATCCAAAAAAAAAAAAAAAAAAAAGCTAAAGAGGATAGAGAGAAACACTGTAAACTGATGATATATGGAGGAGATAATAATCAATGTAATGAAACAAGCTATATGAATGGTTGAATGTGAAGCTGATGTGCCCTGTAAACTTTCACTCAATGCAAAATAAAAACATTAAAAAAAAAAGTTTAGAACTAAACATTATTAAAATATGAATATGCACTAAGTATAAGACTATTACTGAATTTCATTAATAAAGGCTTTAATATTTAAAAAAAAAAGAAACATAAGGCTGTTTCCCATTAATATTTTATGCAATCCATCCATGGTAGGAGAATGCAGATTCTAGCATTGACTTTTTTTTTCAATGTTTTATTGTGAATTAATGTGATAGTTTACATGGGAGAACATTAGTTTCTTCCTATCCTATATCGTTTCATTGCCATGGTTACAATCCCCGCCATGCATCATCCACCAACTAGAGTATACACTACAAACCTGCCCCCTGGTCGTCAGCACACAGCCCGTCTCCCTCTCTGGATCTAAAGTCCCCAGCCGCTCCATCTCTCCACGTCATCATCTCTGCCTCCTTTGTGGTGTCACTGCTTCTCTGGGTAGGGTAGTGCTCTCCGCTCTTCTCCCTTGATGGTCCCAGGGACCCTCTGCTCCTAGACTGCAAGTTAATCACTTCCCTCCTTAGCAATGACTTTTTAACAAGTTAATTTCTCACTTTACTCTAAAGAACTTGATAATTTTCCCATGAGCACTTAAGTAACACTTTGTGTAGTTTGCTACTGCAAACTCTTTAAGTTGCTGGTGAGTTTCCATATAAAGAATGTTTGCTTTAGAGTTTGTTGTTTTGGGGTGCCATTGAGTCGGTTCCAACTCAGAGCAGAACTGTCCCATAGGGTTTTCTAAGACGTCAACTTTACAGGAGCGGATTGCCAGCTCTTCCTCCCATGGAGGTCCTTGGTGGGTTTGAACCTCCAACCTTTTGGTTAGTAGCTGAGTCGTTCACTGGGCACCACCAGGGCTCCTACAACTTATGTTTAGAAATGCGATTTAAACAGAGTGAAAAAGCAGTTTTTACAGAAGCAAACTCAAACTATCCATTTCCACAAAAGTACAACCAGATTGAAAAACCACCACTACCACCCACAAACTGGCTGAATGTAGAACCATGAATGAGGAATGTGAAATTGGAAGCAAACTATTAATTGTTATAAAATGAAACAAAAGAAGCCATGCTTTGTGTGTACAGAGGGGATGGTGGGGTAGAGACAGATACAGTGTTCAGAAAAAATGGACAAGATGGAATATCACTTAGAACTTTAGGACCAGAGTAAATGAAAAGTAGACAATTCATTTGGGGGCAGGGGATTTATCATTATACAATTTCAGGGCAAAGGTAGAAAAGGGTAAAATACCATACATGTTGGAAATGAGGGATGGAATTTCATAGACCCTTTGATTTTAACAAATGATTTAGTTAATGAAATTTGCAAACTCTTGACATTTGAACTGACACTGTAATAAGCTTTTAAAATAAAATCAACAAAGACAAAGTAGGCTTATATCATTATACCTGATACTCAGCCTGGTCACTCTAACTCTTCATCTGGGTGTGACCATAAAGGTGACTGAGATCTGGATCCTTGAAATACAAGTGTTGACAAAGGCTGTGTATGATCTGGAGAAAGCAGCAGAATCCCTGTTACACATCAAAGCCACAAGAAGTTTTAACTTTCAAATTAAATGTTTCAAGTGTACTCGCTCAATTGTTCACACCCAGACTTCAAGGATAGCATCTATTGCAATGCAGGGTGGAATGGTATTCTGATTTCATTTCTTTTCTGCTGAAGATGGAAAACTGAACAAAGATTTATATCTTCAGTGACAGGATTCAAATGAAACATGACAAAGCTGTAAGAGCTGCAACCTGAACATGTCAATGCAGAACTAACTTTCCAATGAACTGGATGGGACTGGGAGGCAAACCACACATACTGCCACACTACGTTGGACAGCTGGAGAGATCAAAGAGAAAACCCAAGAAGAGCAAGTCCTTGCTGGCTAAATTGGGTGTTGTTGGGGCTTCAAATAGATTGTCACTTTGTTTATTGATAAAATTATGTATTTATCTTGGGTTTGCCTTCTCATGGCAAATTTTTATGGAGGTACACTGTACTGGTTGGATAACTATTAGCTTTTTGCTTTGTTTTAAAGTTATCAATTTATAAAGTAGAAGCATTCGTTTTGAAACTAGTCACTGAACTGGAATTTCATCCTGACCTAGTTCCCAATGCTGGGTAGTAATTATTCCTATTTCCCAAATGCTTATAGAAAGTCAGTGTCAAAAGGACAACCAGGGTGAGTGTTGCTCTGAGGAGGGGGCAAGTTTTGCTATATTTGTATAAAAGAGTTTAAAAGAGTTAGCTTTGTAAAAACTAAAAAAAAAAAACAAAAACAAAATCTTAAGACTGTATTGATGAAGGGCTCAGACAACAGGGTCTGAACCATGATGAATTTAAACTCTTACTGACACTTGCACATTTCAGATGATAAAAGATGCCCCATTGAGGGAATAGGAGACATGAGACTTGGAGCAGAAGTCTTCTGACTTAATTATGGCCCCCCCAGGGTGTCCATGCCAGCCTGCCTATCATCACTAATCTAGAAGAATGAATGAATATGGTATTATCCAATATTTCTGCTCCTTCTCCTTGGAGTTACCACAGCCCCAATCTAACAACAAGTTGCTTTTGAAATTTATAATCAGGTAAGCATTTTCTGAATTAATCTGACAGCCAAACCAGCTGTATTTGAAATTGGTCCTAAAGTCAAGTATACCCATATAATAGGACCCGCTGTTAAGACATGAAGAAATACCATAAAGAAAACCCAGCAGTCCATCACTGTATGTTATCCTGCATCATTTATTAAATATTTATTTTCATATATGCATTTACAAACTTTAAGTACGCCTTTCCGAACTCTGCTTTCAGTACATTTTTAACTTTTTTTTTTTTTTTTTTTTGCAGAGAAATCCTCTTGTAAAATAAGATCCATGTACAAAACTAGGCAACAGATATAAAAGTTTTCCTCTCTTACTTTTCATCCATCAAGAAAAGATATCAGGTGACAAAGAAATAAAACCAAAACGTGGCTCTTTCACAAGAATAACATGTCAGTGTGCAACTATGAATTCTAATGGGAAAGTTCATCTTTATATGGATGTGTATAGTTTTAATGCTTCTTAGCTACTGCAGCAGGTTGGTTCTGATAAAGGAAAAAAAAACTCTACTGTTTAGATTAATCTAGAAACCTTCAGCTATTCATTTCTTCATAACATGATGCCAAAATTTGCCCAGGAGATGACTCTGATTGACCAGCAAATACTAAGCATGTATCCCAAACTCTGCATACAAAGTTCCCTTTAAAAACATTCATTAATTTCTTCCCCAGCTAAAGTCTGAGCCTCTAATTTGGCTCATTTATTTAAAGAAATAATTAGTTTAAATGATCGATTTAGAAGCTTAAAAGTCGCTTTGAAACTAAAGTTGCTTTTCTTAAAATGAATGCTGATTTAACAGTTCAGAGACTTGGAGCATTATCACTATGTGACAGGCACTAATGCCACTAGCAACGAGGAACGGCATCACCACAGGATAATTACATGGTCCCAAATGCCCATGGGCCTGAAACTCACTATTAATGTAGTTTTGGCAGCAGCATCTCTTTCGATGTAACCATTTATTACATAGTATTTAACACGTCGGCTTCAAAGTTATGCACTCCCTGTAGGACATTGAGGAGTTACAAATATATTGTGATGGTATAGTTCATACTACACAGTTTTATAAAAAACATAAATACTGGCTATTCTAGTTTTTAAATACAAAATACATGTCATATACTTTTAAATCTATAATCTGGTTCAAGTGCAAATCAGGTGCTTTCTTTAGTCCTTCCAAAAAAGGCATCTTTAATATTTTTGGCAGGAATGAAATCTCATCATGCCAACAGTTCTAATTACAATACATATATGCAGACCTTAAGAGTAGCAATCATATACATACAGTATAAAACTGAGTATTTACAACAGTACTAAGCATAAATGGAGCCTTCGTGGGTGAATCAGAACGACTAGGCTACATACCCATACGATTAATCATTAAAAAGGTAAATACAATGCCTTTCCTTCATTGACTTATGCTGGTTGCTGTGGGTTGACGTTCATGTGAGGAGGATGTCCTAGAAGACCAATTCTTTGTTTCTGCTTCCTTTGTTCTGTCATCTGGAAAGTTAAAAAGTTTCTTCATTAGACCCAGACACTTCCTGTACGTCAAATCGTATACTGAACCATAGATTTACCTCTGTGGTTATGGTTTCTACTGAAACCCACTTTCTACAAATAATGTACCGCCACTCTAGCAAACACATCAAACTTCAAAAAGGGCATTTTCCTAGGCAGGATGGGGAATTCTGTGATGTACTCATGCACCGTCACATTCAGAAGTATTGCTCGCTACTTGTTTCATAAAGAAACAAAAACCAGTACAAGCACAGGGTTTCCGACTTCTTACAAAATCCATTTCCAAATGATTTAAAGACTCATTGGAAAATGGTGGCTTTGTAGGAGAGTGAGTAACACGCCATCTATCAAGAAAAGCAGTATACTTCGAATCCTAGCTTTGGGTCATTGGGTTCTGATTCCTTCTTCTCTCCAAGAACTCTTGAGTCGTTAGTTTGAGAGAAACAGTTTCATAGCACATGTAGGAAAATGAGAACTCTCATCAGATGTCCCTGAAATCCAGAAGGATTTATATACCATAATGGATGTTTTAAGAGCCAGTATAGTGATTATTTTCTGGTCCCACCAGACACTATGACTTAAGTTCAGGAGAAGCCATTTCTTAGGACTGGTTCAAACAAAACAGTGTTTTAAGCTACCCCCTTCCCCCCAACAGAAGACTGAAACTATTCATTTGGGTTTGGAACAAAATCATCTCTCATCCTGATGGGTACCTAGCTCTGGATTCGAGCCTGGGCATTTAAGTCAATTAAGATAAAAGGTGATATGAAATATATATTAGATACTGTTGCCTACAAATGGTCCTACTTGACAATTTCCTGGTTTCCTAAAATTAAAGTGGGCTAAGGAAACCTTATATAGGGTCGCTATGGGTCGGAACCAACTTGATGGCATTTCACAACAACAATAAGGTGAAGCAGTGTGGGGAAAAAGAAAAAAGTAGGCTTTGGAATCAGATGGACCAATTTCCTTATGGTTTCATGCTATTTAGCTTCTCAACGTCAATTTCTTCATATAATTAGGATCATCACTCCCTCCTAGGTGGAGAAATGAGAATGCATGTCTATTGCTTTGGACAGTGTCTGCCACCAAGGTGCTTTCGTCTCAGTTTTTGCTGGTACTAAATATCCTAGGAGAACATAAATCAAGAATAAATAACCTGGGTTGTATGTAAAGTGGTTATTTTCTCTTTTTCAAAACATACCAGTTATCCTTTCAGATCAAAACACTATTTTTAAGCTACTGTGGAGATGCTTTTTCAGTTATCATGCAGATGAAAGGATGTACAAAAAGAGTGATTATTTCCAAAAAGCGTCTTTCAGTAAAAGGCTGCATTGGGATATTCCATCTAGCCTCTAAAACTTCCTTAGATAAATCATTAAAGGAGGCATTAAACATTACTACACTTCACAAATTCATCTCAGGATGAACAATTCACTGTGACATGTGGAATAAACTCATAATTCAGTTATAATGCTGGTAACACATTCATTTTATTGCCTGATACTTGGCTGAGATTTTTTTTTTCCTTCCCAACTATTCCCTTGGCAGATGATCTTGAGAGGGAAATGCTATAATGAAACGTAAGTAAAACTTCCTAATTAGAACAGAAAAATTCTACTGGCTTTGGGAGTCTTGGTGGGTTCCACCTCTAAGGATACTTTTAGCTTTTATTCGTTTCTTCCACTGAAAGTTGCTGAGACCTTCTAGCTGTTCAAGTTGACCCTGTAATTTTGCTTTAAATAATAACTTGTATTTGAGATGCCTTTTTCTGTGTGCATTAGCTTCATCCTTGTTTGTTAAATTAATACTCCTTGACTTTTCAGTGTCAGTCATTCCATTATGTCCTTAAACTTAAAGCCTTGAGTATTTTATTCTCTTGGGTAAATAAGTCTTCATTATATGGTACTTTCACTTTCATCAACCATCACCTGACTGACACCTCATTGCTGGCTCTATTCTCATTTTATAGGTTTGTCTGCTTAAGATAGTGGTCCTCCTCCCTCATAAATCCTAATTCTCCCTACTGCTGTAGGTTAGTAGCCAAATTCTTTGCTCTGGTGCTTAGCACTTACTGATATAATTTTGTCTTCTATCCCCCGAGGACAGAGCTTCTTAAACTTCAGCATACACCACGTGGTTTGTTAAACTACAGATCAAAGGGCCTCACAATCAGAGTGTCAGAATCTGTAGGTCTGGGATTGGGCCCACAAATTTGCATTTTTAACAAATTCTCAGGGGATGCTTACGTTGTTGGTCCTGGGACCACGCTTTGCTAACTACTGCTCTAGGAGAGTTTCCTAATGATTGGCTTTAAAATAGGCCAGGATCATTGCCATGGATTGAAGTGAGTGCCCCCCAAAATATATGTCAGCTTGACTGGGCCATGATTCTCAGTGGTTTGGCAGTTATGTGAGGATCCCCCCCAAGATGTGATTTGATGTGATAAATCAGTAAGAGGATTAAGGGTGAGATGTTGTTAAGTGTAACAGGGTTGGTTCCAACTCACAGCGACCCTGCATAGGGTTTCCAAGGTACGACCTTGAGATTAGCAGTTCATGCTTATCCTACAGAACCACATCAAGACTCCTTAATCTCATCATAACCTGATACGAAGTAAAGGAGTTACCCAGGGCTGGGGTCTGCATCACCTTTGATCTTACAAGAAACAGAAGGAGAAGTGAACAAAGAAGGGGGACCAACTACCACCAAGAAAGAAGAGTCAGAAGTGGAGCACATGCTTCAGACCTGGGGTCCCTACCCTGTGAAGCTCCTAGATCTAGGAAAAGACTGATGCCAAGACCCATGGAAAGCTCCAAGACGTACTGGGTCTACAGATGCTGAAAGGAGACATGGACCGCGTTCCAGAGCCAGTGCTCTTCATGCAGACTTGTAGCCTCCCAAACGGGGAGCCAATACATTTCTGTTGGTTAAAGCCTCCCACCTGTGGTATTTCTGTTATAGCAGAACTAGAGAACTCAGACAGTAACTCGGGCCTATCTTCGTATTCTTGAACCCATTTTCTTAAAAACTATTTTGAGTATACCTAACATTTTCTCAAGGAGCTCTGGTAGCGTAGTGGCTACAAATCGGGCTGCTAACCTCAAGGTCGGCAGCTTGAAACTACCTGCTGTTCCGCGGGAGAAAGATGAGGTGTTCTGCTCCCGTAAAGATTTACAGCCTCGGAAACCTTGTGCAGGGTCGCTATGAGTCGGAACCAACTCCACGGTAATTAACAACAAAAACATCAACAACATTTTCTCAAACAGGATAGGTATTGGAGAAGATTCTCTCCAGTTGAACATATAGCAGGCACACAATCTCAATGGCTTAAATCCTATCTTGATCAACCATGGCCTTTTAGGTGGAACGGCTATCATTTAAGCCAATGTCATTGCCATTTCAGTGACAGATGGATGGGAAGGAATTGGGCAAATGTTAAATTTGGGGGCCCCTTCTGACAGTGGTCATCATCCAATTATAGCTATAAACTCAAACCCAACCTCTGCTGTCAAGTTGATAAAGGGATAATAATAAAAACAAAATCCCTAAGAGCTAAATCTGATCTGGAACAAACCAACACCAATATTTCTGGCCAATTAGGTTTTCCTGGCCCATTACTGCAATTCGCATATAGTTCCTGCCTTTAATAGCTCAAATCTATTTGTCTAATTGTCTATTTTTCTTTATCACTCTATCTATCTATCCACCTATATATTGTATGGTGGTGCTGTGGAGTTGATTCCGACCCATAGTGACCCTGCATAGGGTTTCTGAGGTTGTAAATCTTTAATGGAGCTGAAAGCCTCATCTTTCTCCTGCAGAATGGCTGGTAGTTTCGAACTGCTGACTCTGAAGTTAGCAGCTCGATTCATAACCACTAAGCTATCATCTATCTCCCTACCTACCTACCTATCTATAATCTTGTCATGAGGCCTCACTGATAGCTGTTACTGTTACCTAATATCAAAACAAATAGAAACAGTGGTCAAAGTCTAACCCTTAGCATATTCTCAAATAGCATTCTTGAATTCTTTCTGGAAATTTCTCAACAAAATTGGCCATCAGATTCAGATCTAAGATACTCAAAATCTAACACTGAAACACCGATTTTAAATGGAATGAAATATCTCATTTATTGTAGAGACATGTAAAAACAATCCTGAAAACTCCCTATAGAAATTAGCTTAAATTTGAGCGCTTCTCCTTTGACCCCAGTCTAATCAAGAAACAAACAAACAAACAAAATACTGGAATGTTACAAGGCAGATGTAGCCAAACACCAGAAAGATCTTTTATAAAAAACATAAAGCTCAAAGTCCAAATGAGCAAATTTCAGTCTACGAGTAAGCCAAAACCAGTGCCATCTGGCCAAATCCAACTCAAAACATCACTGTGTAGTGTTTCCAAGGCTTTACAGAAGCAGAAAGCCTCATCTTTCACTAGGGGAGTAGCTGGTGGATTTGAACTGCTGACCTTGCAGTAAGCGGTCCAATGCTTACTCCACAGGGCTACCAGCATTGGCATCTAAATGATTAATGGTGGCCCACTGAGGAAAGTTCACCCAATGTGGTTTATCACAGATCCTAGTAGTCTCTGAAAAGCAAGGTTTTGTTTACTCAGATTCTACACAGCTGAGATAAGAACTCTGGTACCATAGTGATTACAAGTCAGGCTGCTAACTTCAAGGTCAGCAGTTCGAAACTACCAGCTGTTCCACAGAAGAAACATGAGGCTTTCTGCTCCCATGTAGATTTACAGAATTGGAAACCCTACACAGGGTCACTATGAGTCAGAACTGACTCCACGGCTCACCAGCAGCAGCAGCACCACCACCAAACAGCTGAGAAACTCCAATAACCAGAAATAGTTTTTACAGTCTTATAAAATCAGTTGTGTTCATCAAGATTGGCCTAAAACACTGAAAAGTAAACTCAAACATCCCTTGAAAAGTCTTATTGATACCAATTTCATATAAATAAGTTGATTTTGTTCTGGTTCCTAGAACTGATACTTAAAATGCTCTCTTCCTGTTTAGCTCTCAACCTTTGCCAGGCTCTGAATGCAGGCTCCTGCATGACCACCTCAGAGGGGCTTCTGGGGACATGAGGCTGAGCCTCTGCCCAGGGGCTGGCCAACTTCCCAGAGCAATCCCTTCACGCCATCTACATTTACCAAGTAGAATTGTAATGCATCTGTTTACTCATTTGTCTGCTACTCTTGACTGCTAGTTCCTTGAAGGCAGAGGAGAATGGGTTCTAATCTGTTTGTATCCCCAGGCCCTGGTAAATAGGTGTTGCATCAATGTTGGTGGAAAGAGTTGAATTAACCAGCACATATTGCCATTCCTTGAGCATGCCATGCATCTTCATGCCTTTGCTCATGCTGATTCCTTTCTAAGGAAGTCCTCCCTCTGCCCACCCCACTGCATTTCTCTACCAGTTCACAAGTCCCCTGCTTGAAAGACTGGCGCAGCTGAGCACCTCCCTCCCTTCCTATCCCTCACATACTCCTCATGGGGCACTGCCTATTTCTCAGTGCCCCCACGGCACATTACTCACGCCTCCTCGAACCACAGAACTTGTCAGAGTGTTAGAGTTCTACTTCTTTCTCCTTGCTAGATTGTGGGCTCCTTTGTGGTCCCCACACAGTATAAGGAACACAGACATGACACTCATCTTAAAGCCTTCCTTTAACATATAAGATTATCAAGATCACCCTCTTGCATGAAAAATGCCAAACATTACATAACATGCCAATATGGTTGGAATTCTCAAGCACTGCCTGTATTTCTGACAGAGACACAACCACCAGCAAGCTCTCTGTCCGATAAGAAGCCAGCTGGGTCTTCAAGAACGTGAACCCTTCTCTCAGTATTTGCTCTTTTGCATTGTGAAGACAACATGCAAAAAAAAAAAAAAAAAAGTTCTTACATTAGTTCTCCTCCTTGGAATAAGAATGTAAGGGAATCATATTTAGTATTCAGAATCTCTTGGGAGGAACTTACAGATGCATCATTAAATATCAGAATAGCAATTCTAAGTGAATGGCAGTAGTCGAAAAATAACACCACTAACCAGGCTCTTACTAATACTCTTAATAAGAATTTTTGTTTTTTCTCTCCCTTAACTGGTATTTCAAGAAAACCACCTAAAAAGAGGTCAATAGCAGTAAAGATGAAAACCAAAGACATCATTTAAGCTATCATTACGCATTATGCTGTGTTTGGGACCAGAAGATATTAAAAAATATCTAAGAGATGAAGCAATTTTTGTGTTTTCCAGCACTTCTGCCAGTGAATGGTATCCTTTCAGACACTTTCGTCACAGTGCCTCTTGTTCGTTAATCATTCATGAGGCTTTTATTTTTAATCCAAAGAAACTTCTCCTTAATCTAAGGGCAGGAATTCTCACAACGAACATTTCAGAACCAGCAGATCTCTAATGTATCTGCATGTTTGCTTGGTTTTTAATTCATAATAATCTGTGAAATCTTTCTGATTGCTAATTTAATTAAATGCAAGTTTACTCAATAAGATGATTCACAAATACATGAAAGGTTTGTTAGAAATTACCTAACCAAAAGAAATTGTAGGCTAGTTCCTTTTGAAAGAAGCAATTTCCCCCCAATTAAAATCAGCTATGCTGAACTTTTTCTGCAATTCTGGGCTTTACCTTAAAACTTAACCACATCAGTCCTGGTTAAAAGGACTTGAGAATTTATGACTGTTTTCTCATATTTCTTTTCAGTCTCTAATGGTGGCGGTTACGTGCCGTGTAGTTGGTTCCAACTCATATCAACCCTGTATAGGGTTTCCGAGGCTGTAAATCTTTACAGGAGCAGAGGGCCTCATCTTTCTCACTCGGAGCTGCTAGGAGATTTGAACTGCTGACCTTGCAGTTAGCAACCTAAATTGTAACCCACTCCGCTACCAGAGCTCCTTCAGCCTACCAGAGCTACCAGAGCTCCTTCTATGACAAATAACACTGATTCAATCTTAATGGATGAGTTGATCCACCTGCCAGCATTTAAGACAAAAAAAAAAATGGATTCCGAATCTAAGCGACCAAGGCCTTAAACTAACCAAGCAGTTTAAACCAAACTGACTCTATAATCATTTATTCAATCTCAGCCCATATGTAATCAAGTTTCTAATATTTTGTTTAAGCCAAAACTTGGGTTTCTCAGAAATAATTATACATAAGATTTTTTTTTTTTTTAATGCTAAGTATCAACTCATCTGACTTGTGTAAAATGGTAAGGGATGTATCTCTTCCCCCCACCCCAACCATGTAAGTGCCTGCTGTGATGTCTGAAACGTTAAGGCTCTGCCTAAAATAAAATAAAATAAAATAAAATACATATAATGAAGATTTAAATAGTCAAACACACATAAGAACAAAATCAGATTGGAGGACCACCAGTGCCGGTCCTGGTGTTGTCATGTAGACTTGAATAAACTTCCTAAGAGCCTTCTCTATATCTCAGCATCCTCCAGAGTCAAAAGAAGGAATGGTGGAGGGAGAGACATTCACAGCCCCAGGGAATTCTCCTGTACCTAGGAATCTTTCCCTAACTCCTCGGCTCAGCTCACTCCATTGACAAGGCTTACTTTGCAAAGTGAACCTTGAAGATGGGCAGCTTCAAAATTACACTCAGTGAGCAACTCAACAGATGTTTCAGACTGATGCTTCATACTCAAGGACCGGCAGGGCCTATGGAGAAAGCTGTGCTTTGGTGTCACTGCTACTGAATATCCAATTGTAGTTTGCTCTAGACACATTTTAAGAAACTCTCTAGTAAACTGGATACATCAATTTCTCATATCGGCACAAACATTCCCCAGAGAGCTTCCAAGCATGATACTGAGAAACAGTAATGAGTGAACAAGCATGGATTTGGGTTGCACTAGCAGAGAAGAGCCCAAGGGCCTGAAATCTTGCAATTCTCCATCCTGAGCATGAAATCAAAGCATTTGTTCCTTTGAAAATGTTATCAGTCTTGAATCGCTCCCTTATTTAAGTCTGTAGCCAACCACTTTCCATAAGATTTTTAGGACCTAATTTACAATATCCTATTTAACTATGACTCTTGTAGCAACCTCAAATGGAGAAGAAGATAACCACGGCTATGTTAAATGTATCCAAAAGCTTGCCTTGCTCTTCAGGAGGGGGAAACAGAAGCAGCTGTAGCTAACCACGTAGTCTTGAATCAGAGTACTCTGTGGAACACTGGGCAAATGTTTCACAGCAGGGGTAAAAGTTAATAAAATAATAAGTAATCTAATTAGATCTTCATTAGTTTTCCTTATTTAAGTTACTACTCATTTTCAGTGACTACCAAGCTCAGAGCTGTACACAGCCCTTATAAAAAAAGACCTCTTTTTCCCTTCATCTTTTTTTATTTGCATCTTAATACACGTGAAAGAACAGAACTTAAGGCCAAATGGTATCTTGGGGGGACAGTCTGGAATAATTCAGTTGGTAAAGAAATATAATTCAAATATAATTAAAAATTCTCTGTAAACCACTTGCAGAATGGGTTTATTCTAGACTGGGTCTTCACTGGTTATTACACACTTACGAGAAGTACATCACCTGTGGATGTATTGTTGCATTTGATCTCTAGGGTGGAGCCACCTGATACCTGCTGCCACCATGCAAAACGGACAACCTTGTCTGTGAAGTGGTTAAAAAGCTTTCAGAAACTCAGACAAAATCCTGAACGGTTCCCATGTCTGTACATGATTATCCCATTCTATTACAGCAAAGCTCGAATACAACCATCTAGGTCTCATAGACCCCAGATGCACCCTAACATTAGACAGCCACCTCCTGACTGTGTGATGTTAGTTTTAAGGGGTCAAGAAGGAGAAGAGTACAGAGGGCAGGGTACAAATCTGTTGCTCCTCCCCAAACTTCCTTCAAGGGGCAAAGCATTTCTGCTACGGATAGGGCACAGGATAGGAGAAGGCAGTATTTCTGTAGACTCCAGGCCTACCTCATTTATTGCACATATTATGCATTTTGTTTGTTTGTTTTCATTTTTACAAATTGAAGACTCTGTGTTGAGCAAATCTACTGGCACCATTCTTCTGTGTTTTGACTTTTATGTGTGTGTGTGTGTCTAAGTGTCACAATTTGGGAATTCTTACAGTATTTGAAATTTTTACAAACTCTATGGTACACTTACTGGAGTACAGCATAGTAAAAACTTAACTTATATATGCACTGGGAAACCAAAAATTCAAGTGATGTCCTTGACTGTGACATTTGTTTTATTGCGGAGGTCTGGAACCGAGCCTGCAATATCTCCGAGGTCTGCCTGTATGAAGCTCTGTGGGAGCAGGGATTACATCAACATAATTTTATCTCTGGCATGATACCTGGCAAATGATAGTCACAGTATGAAGTGTTTGGCAAACAAACAAACCCAGAGAGCTTTTCCATGATGATGGTTTTCCCCAGGACTCTGGATTTAACCATCTTGAGTGAAGTGCTGATGGATTTGGGGGGAAAAAAACAGTAAACACTGTTTTTTTTATCTCCCACCAGTGACTAATGTAAATAAAAGGTTCTACCTGTATGCATCCTGGATTTTCTGTATACTACTTTGTTAAAGCAGTTTGTATTTTCCACTTTCTGGTTTTGTCTTTCATGTTAAAACCTTGTCCTAACAACACTCAATGTCGTACCAGGGGGCTTGTTCTTAAAAGGAGAGTGAATGGGAGAGGCAGGGGAGACAACTGGAGCTCAGGAATTTGTCCCCTGTTGTCTGGTTCATTTTACAATTTAGGTGGACTGAGTCCCCAGTTCAATATAAGCACCACCCCCATTTAGTCTCATCCAATCTGGTGCGGATGTGTGCAGAAGTGGATGGGATTTATTTTCCTTACCTGATCTTTTAATTCTGAGAGCTGACCGGAGAGATTAGTGACCAGCTTCATGGTGGACTCCAGCTTCTCCTGCAGGTTCCGTAGCTCGTTCTGTTCTCCATCAGCATCACTGCTCACCAAGGACATGGCTCTCATCCTAGGGAACCAATCAAGGTTTCGTTCCTAGAATCCGCATGAAAAGAGTCGGGAGTCAGTTCCAGGGTAGATGTGAGACACGCAATCTTCACTCTTATCCTATCATTCGAGGGGGCTTCAGAAAATTCATGGAAAAACTATTACCCTTTCATTCAAATTTCCCATCAACTCTTTTTGAAGTGCTTCCCCCGCTGGCCCATATTTCTAGGTGTTTTCTCTCATTAGATTGCTGCCTTCTGTCGGTGCTGAACTAACACGCGGGTCTTTTTCAAATCTGGCTTGCAAACACTCTGGATGTGAAATGCACGTTAAGCTCCCAAGTGTTCTGTTCTAACAGATAGGGGTATGTGCGCCTCTGCTTGGTAAGAGGATGGTGACTTGGGCAAAGGTGGGGACAGAGTCCTTGTTAAATTTCTCTGCTGGAAAACTTATGAAAGAGGAGCCCCGATGGTGCAGAGGCTAAAGCTCTCAGCTGCTACGGAAAGCAATGAGGTTTTAAGCCTACCAAGCATTCCAAGGCACAAAAATGAGGCAGGATGCCTTCTTACAGAGGCAGCTCTCCTTGGGATAGGTCTACTCTGTCCTCGGGGATCACTAGGAGTCATTACTGACTCCAGGGGAATGATAATGGGGAGTCTGTATCTGTTTCTTACTACTGATGAGCAGAATGGGAGAAGACAGCCTGCCCCGCCACCACCACCCCCATCCTTACTTCATCCTGCCCACATATACCTTTCTCCTAAAGAGCATGCCTCACAAGTCCAGTGAGGCAGGAAAAGAACAGTAAGAAAAGCTTAGTCAGCACGAGGTAAGGGGAAGAAGATGGACTCAGCTGGTAAATTTAGTGTCACTTCTCGCCTGACCCATTTCAATGTCATCAGGATAAGTTTTAATGTTGTTGTTGTTAAGTGCTGTCGAGTCGGTTCCGACCCATAGCGACCCTGTACAGGGTTTCCGAGGGTATAAATCTTTACGGGAGTAGAAAGCCTCATCTTTCTCCCGCGGAGATGCTGGTAGTTTCGAACCGCCCAATTCCTAACCACTACGCTACCAGAGTTTTAATAGACATCTGAAAAACCATGTCCCTGTCCACTCCCCAATCAGACACACCCACAAGTCATTTGCTATTATTTTGCTTTCTGATGGGTCAGCAACATCTTTCTATATTGTCAATGCTTTTGTCTTTGTAAGTTATACGTAGTCTTTGTAGGTCTCTGTCGCAATTACCCAGTCAATCGGGCTGCGAACCGCAAGGTCAGCAGTTCGAAACTACCAGCTGTTCTGCGGGAGAAAGATGAGGCTTTCTGCTCCCGTAAAGGTTTACAGCCTCGGAAACCCTGTACAGGGTCACTATGAGTCGGAACTGACTCCACGGCACACAACAATTATAGTTGTAGCCTGAAAACGGAGCATAGGCAATATGTAAACTGATAGTATGGATGTGTTTCAATACAATGTTATTAACGAATACTAGTGTCAGACCAGATTTGGCTGACTGGTCAGAGTTTGCTGCTCCTTGGAAACCCTATACAGGGTCTCTGTGGGTCGGAACCAACTCGGCGGCGCTTAACAACAATGACAACAAAGTATATGGTGGCGCTGTAGGCTAAACATTGGACTGCAAGATCATTTGAACCGCAAGGTTGGTAGTTCAAACTTACCAGCTGGTCCTTGGAAACCCTATGCTGGGTCACTATGAATTGGAACCAACTCAATGGCACTTAACAACAACAACAATATAGTACATGATGTTGTTAAGTGCAGGCGGGTTAATCCCAATTCCTAGCAACCCTGTACAGGGTTTCTAAGGAGCAGCTGATTGGTTTGAACCATTCACTTTGTTGCAGTCAGCAGTCCAGTGCTCATCCTACAGTGCTACACCAGGACTCCTTTGTTGTTGTTGATATGTGCCGTGGAGTCGATTCCGATTCATAGTGAGGGTTTCTGAGGCTGTAAATCTTTATGGGAGCAGAAAGCCTTACGTTTCTTCCGCAGAACAGCTGGTAGTTTCGAACTGCTGACCAGGAGATTAGCAGCCGGATTCATAACCACTATGCTACCAGAGCTCCTTAGAACTCCTTTGTTGTTGTTAAGCGCCGTGGAGTTGATTCTGACCCATAGCGACCCTGTATAGGGTTTCCAAGGAGCATCTGGTGAGCTTGAACCACTGATGTTGCAGTTCAAACGACTTTGCAGTCTGAGGCATTAGCCCACAGCACCACACCAGTACTCCTTTAGTGCATTATAAAAGGCATCAACATATTTAGAATCAGAAACAACGTTCCCTAAGGCATGTCTAGATACTACATACTGAGGGAGACAATGATACTGCCTTGACCTGAGGCAAGCTTGTAATACAGAAAGTAAAGAAGTGGTTAAAGACTCTCACACAGAAGGCACACTGCTCTGGCACTGCGGTATCATGCCTACTTAGTCCGTCACTTCAGTACAATACCAGAAGTGTAGCAGGCGCTCGATAAGTATTTATGGAAGGAATGATATTCATCTCTGTTTCCTGCATGCGTTCCAATGACAAATGCTTCAGTGGTAAACCCGAGGTGCTCATAATGACTACTGGAGAAGACAAGACACAATCTCTACCCTCCTATCTTATACTTACTTGGTCATACTGTGGTGGCTGTGATGCTGAAAGTGATACCAGTTACTTCAAATACCAGCAGGGTCACCCACAGTGAACAAGTTTCAGTGGAACTTCTAGACTCAGACAAGACTGGGAAGAAAGGCCTCCTCACTACCTAGTTCTGAAAAAGAACCCATGAGAACCTATGCACCACAACAGTACCCCTGCTGTGGACGAGAAGGAGGACATCATGCTTGGTTAGGCGGAGGGCCAGTGAAGGTGAGGGAGACTCGAAGTGAGAGGGACTCACATAGGACCGGGCAACATTTTGTTCTGTTTGCATTGAGGCCGTCCTTAGTCAGATGTGACAGTGGCTAACAGTAACAACTTTCCTATCCCAAATACCCTGTGATGGGCACTGAATTCACATGTTAGCCTGTGTTTATCTCTATCAGTTTTCCACCCTAGCTGCTGTTGCTACGTGCCGTTGAGTCAGGTCAGACTCACAGAGACCCCGTATAGGGTTTCCGAGGAGCTTGAACCACCAACCTTGCAGTCCAAACTGATCTCTTAGTCCAGGGTCTTAACCCACAGAACAATGGGCAAAAGGCCATTTGACACAGGCCTCATTTCAGAGATGATCAATTTAAAACTCAGAAGTGTGCACTGGAGAGCAGGCATCTGGGAACAATTAAGCACGGTGTTGCTGAAGTGGCCCATAACTGATTCTGTTGATGGGGTCTGTGTCATCATTCAGGTACATTCCTACCCTCCCATCAAGGAACTATGGCACGCTTGAGGATGTGCAAGCATAGTGTCTAAGCAACTCTGATGAATGAATTCATTTTTCAGAAGAGGGCATATGTGACCAATGCCAGAGGTGGAGAACAAATTGAAGAGGAGCAATCTAAAGTTCCGCTGAAATTGTCAAAGTCAGAGGGATGCATGGTCAAACCCTCCAGTAGGGTGAGAGGGGGTACTAGGAGGAGGTGATCCTCATGGACACTACCGACCATCATCATTGCAATGTGATGCAGAGCCCCCAGGCCCTCAAATCTTTCCTATGTTCATGTGCTTAACAGACACTCCATCAAAATACCAAACAGATTTTCAGAGTCCATCTACTCTAATGAGACCTTCAAAAGAATCCAGAAAACCAATACACTGAAATAAGAATGCACATGACTAAAAAGGGACACTTAAACCTTCTTCATTCTAATAACAAGTGACAAGATTACCACACACTTAAATTATAATTTTTCCATGATATCATCACATCTGCTTTCATACCAAATATATGATTTCTGTCCTGCAAAGCAATGATTGCAAAAGATCTTTGAGCACATGCAAAATATGTAGATATCCTCTAGTCAGCAATGAAGGGGCTTCAAAAATTGGGAAAATTACAGTATCTTTTCATTCCATTTTTCCTCATAGAGTGTTTACAGTATCTATGGCGCTGCAGGGTAATGCACTGGACCAAAAGGTCGGTTTGAACTGCAAGGTTGGCTGGCGGTTCAAACCCACCAGCTGCTCCTCGGAAACCCTACAGAGGGTTGCTGTGAGTCAGAACCAACTCAACAGCACACTAGTTACGTGCTCAAGTAACTTAAAGGTTGGCCGTTTGAACCATCCCAGAGGCACCTTGGAAGAAAGGCCTGGCAACCTCCTTCCTACAAAAATCACAGCATTGAAAACCCTATGGAGCACAGTGCTACTCTGAAACACATGGGGTGACCATGAGTTCAGTCAGCTCGATACCAACTGGCTTTCTGTTTGGTGCCAGGCACAGGGCTGTGTGCTAAGGATCTCAATGTGAGAAAGACAGAGCCCTTGTCCTCAAGGAGCATGGCGCCTTGCCTGTGTGAGCTCCGTGGTGAGCAGCACCCAGGACTGAGTGTCTTGTACCTGCCGAACAAGCGAATGGGGCCCAACAGCATTAGGAAGGCTGCTGCTGGCATCATTGCTCCTCACCTCAATAGCGAAGGAAATGCGCTCATATCCTGTGCATGTGTTTGCTTTAGCCTTATTAGTACTTCGTTTTAGTCAACTGTTGTTGTTGTCGGCTGCTACTGAGTCAGCCCTGTTTCACAGCAACCTCGTGCACCATGGGACAGACGCTGCCTGGTCCCCCAGGGCCTTCTTTCTGGTGAAACCTTCATTGAAATCTCTTTAGTGTCATAAACCTCTTCACCAACACGTAAGCCTCCACTTACAGATGGTGGTGCCTCCGCAGGATGGGCACTGGCTGGGAACTGAACCCCAGTTGCCTGCATGGAAGGCGAGAATTCCTACCACTGAGATACCACTGCCCCTTTCAGTCAGTGGTAAATGATTAACAAATATTTTTGTATTAAATACACACACACACTCAACTGTCCTGGAACACAACGTGAAATTGAAATATATTTTAAACGTAAAATCCAAGACTTTAAAGAAACAGAAC